AAAAAAAAAAACAATTTTCAAATAAATGGCCATTATAATTTTCAATGAAATGCTTTGTTTTATCTGACCATCAGCCTCAAACATCAAATATATAACCAAGAAAAAAAAGCAAATTCTGACATTTAAGAAGCGGGAGCCGAGGAATACTAGGTCATTTTTGCTTGGAAAATATCTGAAAAAATACAAAACAACAGGCTGTGGTCTCGGCTTCAACGAGAACGCACTATTTAACCTTTGAAATTTGACTTACAAATTGTGCTCAACGGGTAATCACATCTTAGAATGCCTTCAGTATCTAACCCAGATAAACTGGCACATCTCAACAGAATACAATCATTTAGCATTTCAACAGAGCCCTTAACAAGACAGCTCTGTGTCATCTGAAGTGTGGGGACCCTTTACACTCAGATCATTGACATGGCACAAAACAAGGACAAACATACCACACCCTGCCTACTGAGGCCGCACTCGCAACGACCGTATTCAACTCTGAAACACAACTTTCTGTTCATTCAGCAAAGAAACGACGTCAGAGAGGATAACTTGCTGTTGTGTGCCATTTGAATGCATATGAAACTCACCCCTGTGTTTGCTGGATCTGGTACAACTGTGACAATCTCTCCTTATGGCTGCCATTCTCTGAATAGTTACAATATTTGCTTGTGTTGGACAACTGAGTTCATTCAGTCTATCAACAACAAGACAATGGCCACATTTCACTCTGTTACAAGATTATCAGTACAATGAGACGCAGTGTTGAGGCTTTCAAAGCATTCTTCTCGTACTGAATGAACAGAGCTGGTTACAAAACCCACAGCTGACTTTCATACAGTACGTGTGGGTTTAAGCCTCAACTGTGTTTTGGTGTCACAATGTTCACATTTACGTACGTTGAGTCACGTTGTTAAATCACTCATTGTAAATGCTCATTTAGTCGGTGAGATTTGTGCCTAGTAGATGAATATTTTCCAAATGGGAAAAAAGGGGGATATTGGAAAAACATGAGGTTTTTTTTCCTTTCTATTTTTTCCAACAAACAGGAGCAGATTCTTACTGCTGTTTGTTGGAAAGCCAGAAGGTGTGTGGAGTGCTGTATGTAGAGATGCAACAATCCTGGTGTCAGATTCTCCAATGTGAGGATTTGCGGCTCGTCTCTGTTTTATAGCATTATAAACTGAATGTATTTGTATTTTGGATTACTGGGTCGCACTAAACAAAACATTTGAAGATGTCAGGTAGGACTCTGGGACACCAGGAGAATCAAGCTTCAGAAATGATCAAATCAATCAACTAATTGTTGCAGCTCTAAATGAAAAAGAATCATCAGTTGCAGCTCTACTGTGGCTGTGCGTGTGAGACGTTTGCTGACAGACAGAAAAACAGTCAAACACATTTAGCTTTAACTTAAGTGATCAATTAACCCTCTCCTGGGCTGCATATTTCACCTGTGTGATGACATCATTTGAACCTATAATCCTAACGTCACAAGTAGCACTTTATGTGACAGTGTGTCTCATAAGTAAGTTAAACTGTATGGACAGAGAGAGAGAGAGAGAGAGAGAGAGAGAGAGAGAGAGAGAGAGAGAGACTGAAGGGGAATGTACATGGTCCATGAACCTTAATATGCTCCTTTCATACAACAATTCACACACATCACAGCACGCCAGTTGTGTAGTCATTCGTGGAGCAATGATATGATGAATACTCAGAGCTTCAGGGTGCAAACCAACACACAACTACCGCCTAACTTATTCCACATGGATCAAAATGAGGCTTTAGCCCAGAGCTACACACACACTGCGTGTATCATCCCCGGTGTTTGCCAGCAAGATGGATGGCTGCCCCTCCAGACGCATCAGATAACCCAATTAGGACAGCTTTAATTGGATATTTAACAGCGCGGCAATGCAATTAGCTGAAATCATATGGCAATTATTTTGGGGTGAATGTCCGCAGGCCATTCGTGTGCGTGTGTGTGAATGGCCTCAGTGGTCAGCTCTTCTCTGCGGCGCATCCATCCCTGCTTATACTGCTGCAACAAGAGCCCCCTCTCCACAATCACAGCACTGCAAAACATCATCCACAATACTGTGACCACCACCACCACACTCCCTCTCTCTCTCTCTCTCTCTCTCTTTGAGGGCAAAGGTAGCCGTCAAATACACGCACCCACGTCTGCAGGATGACTGGGTGGGAGACTGGCTTGATTGCAGCGACCAACTCGGTGTTATTTATCTCCTCTGCTCCCTCTTTCCCGAGAGGAATTCATCTCGCAGTCCACAGCGCAAAACAGGGGACGAGGCGGGTGCACCAATTGAAATTCAACACAGGGAAGGGGAAAAAAGCGTGCTTACCGCAGAACAAAATCAGATTAATCCATCGGAGTTTCCAGAGGGACTTTCGTGTGGGGATTCTCCGATATTTTTCTGCTCTCTGTGACTGTTTTTTCTTCGCATTAAGAGAGAATAGCGGCGGGATATCCGTCCCTGCCGATTCAGGAGCTGCTGTCGCCGCCGTGCGTACAGATGATGACGACGGCGACCAGAGCCAAGTTCACAACAATAACATATAGCTTTCTGGTTGATCCTGTCAAAGTAAAGCGGTTTGTCACGCGTGATTTCCAGGTTAAAACAAGAATAGAGAGAATTGTTTTCATCAAACAATCAAAAAAAGAAAACATAATACAGTAATTCCACTCACACTATATGTGTAGGATTATGTTAAGCGCGCTCAGAAGATGATTTCTAAAACACTAACTTTTATGCTTTTATTTTGACATGAAGATACTGTTTTATTTTCCGGTTTATCTCTTGACGTCATGACGCAGCCGTGACGGCTGCTGAGGATCCACACGGACCACAGACCTGTGACGGACACCGCTTTCCTCCAATAACAGAGTACGATGCATAGTGTGACACCTAGACTGAAAAACAGAGCATGATTGGCAAATTGTCAGTTTTGCAACATATATATGGCAACAATTAGGGCAAACAAATCCCCACCCATACAACATGGTACCTTTAGATACTTCACAAGGATTTATCATAATGAATCGCAAATTTGACCTCTGACTTCAATTAAGTTAATAGTCTTTCAGTTTTGCAGCAGTTTAAATGCTGGTCAGACTTCAACAAACCAAAACCTGCAGGTTCATTTGGGTGACTGCATTCAGTGGCTCAACAACACTTTGCCATGTGGACAGGAAGAATCAAACTACCAACCCTACCATTACTGCCACAAAAGACGCTGCAGTTATCAGTCATTATAATTAATTAATTCTTTTTATCTTTTCAATGTCAGAAAATAGTGAAAATTGTCCGTCACAGTTTCCCAGAGTACGAAGGGAAACGTTTTGTTCTGTCCGGCCAACAGTCTAAAACCTAAATATGTTTCCTTTATAAAACAGGAAGAAGCTAGATTAAATGGACATGTTTACCGTTATATATTAATGAACATCTCAACTGTTTGGTAGAAGCTCATAATTAAAAAAAACTGAGAGTGCTGCATTGACAAAAGAATAATTCATTTTTGTTGTCAGTACACAACAAAACAAAACAAAAATAATGCAGAAAAATAAAGATGATTTTTAAAGATGGGACCAGTGAAGGGTTAAATTTGACATGATTTACAGTGAGAAGTTTAAACCTTTGGCATGTTTAAGATTTTGTGTTGATTTGTGCCTTTTTATAAGTCAAGTTGCTGACACACACACACACACACACACACACACACACACACATACACACTGCCCCCTCCACATAGGATCCTGCCATGACACAGTATCCTCCTGACAGGTGAAGCCTTTATGTCTGAATGTCTGGGCTGCATGGCGCTTGTTGAGAACACTCCATGCCCTGCTGGCTTTGTCCCCGGGTTTACATATTCATGGCAGCTCACCATAACAATCACAGCTTTGCATGTAATCAGAATATCACAACAATGAGCGTGGCCTAGTTAGCCCGAGGAAGAGAGGGGTGGGTGAAAGAAGTCACCCTAATCCTCAAGCATGTTGTCTGCGCTCTTAGGAGCTCACTCTCACCCTACTTCTCCAAAAACCACAAGTCGTGATCGCAAAAGCCCTCGACGTGCAGCCTCTTCCTCGGAGCCATTTTGGACTAGTAACCATGGAGATGTGGGTCATGCAGTGATGGCAGAGCGAGGAGACTCGTGGCTGGTGGTGGAGTCAGAGCACTGCAGGCTGCTGGAGCAGAGGGCCATAAACTCTCATTATATCTGGGTCACTGGGATTCTCCAGCTGCAACAAGCAGACAAGATGCTATTATGCAAGAAGAGGGATGAGGGAAGTTGTGGGCACAGGGGATTATAGTTCCAGGGGACGCCTGTGTGCTGAACGAGGCATATGTCAGGAGTGTGTGATGATTCAACACAAGACCAGCTGAGCAGCACTTTCTCAGCTTAGCGGTTGCTGTTGTTTTGGCACTCAAAAGTTGTGGTAAACAAATTCTGGGGCCTGATCTGTTGCAACTCTGTATATTGAGAGATACATTTAACTCTAATCTAGGTAGCTATGTTTTACAATCTACAAACATATGAAATAATGTTCCAGGCTATAATAATCCACATTATGTTGTACATTATACATATAATATTAACCAGGGAGAGAATGAATATCTCTGAATATGAATTGAAGGTCATCCACACGTAAAATTAAATGTTGGCCATTTTTGTAGTTTTTGTAAAACATATTGTTTATTTTAGTGTCCGATTATCAAGTATTTCTGGGATATTCCCTCGTATAAATCAGCATCTATCTGTCTGCTAGACACCGCAAATCTCAGTCGCTATTTGAGGGAAATAAAATCAAGTTTCTGCACTCTAAAATGGCCATAAAGACAAGTTGTTGGCCATGTTGTTGTGTCTCTCCTATTGTCCATGGCCCCCCGCTCCATGACCCCCCTCCCCCCCCACTCGTTGAATTCCGGAGTTGTGATTGGTGGAGACGGGGTGGCTTTGTCGTCATAGCCCCAGTGCCCATTCATCAGTGGACTTGGGCGTTGTACTCCGCATCTCATTTGCGGCGGGGCCAATTTCTCCATTTACAAACTCCGCTCGAGAAAAAATTGAAAGAATTCGCGTTTCTTTTGCATCTTTGCCACATTTCTGCAAGTTCCCACACGTCGCTTTGCGGTCATTTCGATTTCGGGCTGATTCATCGGCTTCGGTCGGAGAAGTAGGTGTCGGTGCTTTGACTTGAATTTTTGGGGAGGAAGCTTGCGGTCTTTGTTCATTCATTTGATCGGTTGGGTTTCCTTTGTTGCACCAAAAGCATGGGAGCACAAACCTCCAAAACCGCTGGAAAAGAGGAAGCCGCTGTGGAAAAGCCGGCAGAAGGAGCAGCTGTTGCAGCAAAGACAAACGGACAGGTAACTTGCATTTTAATTTAAGTCTTAATTGCTCGAGGGGAATTTTGTCTCGTTTTAGCAATGCGTTGACTCAATGGCGTGCTCCATGTTCCCTGTAGCGCACCCGCACGTTCACCGGCATTCAGGGAAAGTGGCCACATGTAACGTTATCCACAAGAATTTAGTGTTTTAAGTGGCTTATTTTACATCGCAGCATTGTTTCAAATGAATGCATTTTATTTCAAATGCTGAAAATGAACACCGGCATGGCCTTTTGATTTATCTTTTCAATATGAATATTAGGCTACACAACTAATCTCTCGAATGCATATTTTATCACTGAATTGTTTTTGAAATGGCATTTTTGATTGATTTATACATATTATTCTGATGCTTGAGCTAACTAAACATTGCGGCTTTTTTTTTTTTTTTAGTTTTTTTTTTTTTAAATTCATTTGGTTGAAATGGGTGTGCTGCTCTCTCTGTGGCATGGCCATTTTAAAAGCCCATACCACGCCTTTGTTGCCAGATTCGAGGAAGGAGCCACGTTGTTGTAACACACAACTCGCACAATACAGAAATTATTCCAAAAATTGCTGAGTAGGATGGAAGAAGTATATAAAAAGTAAATGAACACGCATTTATTTACTACACCGGTCATTAAAAGAAGGGAGAAAAAAAATCCCCAAATTCCTATATTGTAGCCACCGGCTCCACACCGAATGCCACCTGGCGGATCCCGGCGGTACTGCGGTCTAACCGATTAGCCTACTGCTGAGAGCCACAGATCTGTCGTCACTCTCCTAGTAACAGATGTTGCTGCAGTTTCGGGGCTATTTTCCTATTGGTTACTACCAGTCAATGTATTTGATTAAATTCCACAGCACGCCAGAATTGGCAGGGGGTTGTCTTACACACACATGTTCATGTGTTGGCCTCAGATGCATGATTACAGATCAACAGAGTCTCAACCCCTTTTTTTTTTTTTTTTTCTTTTACTTAAACAACGCTGTGATATGCATGTTTAGAATTAGTTTTTTTTTATTCTGTTTCCCAGGAGAATGGCCACGCCAAGACCAATGGGGATACCTCTCCAGCTGCAGAGGAGGCCAACAAAGCTGATGTGCAGGCCAACGGCAGCACTCCTACTGAGGAGGCACCCAAAGAAGAAGGTGAGAAAGTAGAGGTTGCTGAAGCTAACGGCGAGAAGGAGCCTGCCGCTACAAACGGAGAGGCTTCCGCAAAGCCCGAGGAAGGCACTCCATCCACCAGCGACGATGGAAAGCAAAAGAAGAAGCGTTTCTCCTTCAAGAAACCCTCCTTCAAGCTAAGCGGCTTCGCATTTAAGAAGACCAAGAAAGAGTCTGAGGAGGCTGTCGAGGAAGGAGCCGCCGAACCAGCTGAGGGAGAGAAGGCGGCGGCAGAGGAAGCAGCCGCTGAGGAGGCCAAACCTGCTGAGGAGGGAGCCAAGGAGGCTGAAGCTGAGAAGCCAAAGGCTGAAGAGGAGGAGGAGGAGGTGAAGGCAGAGGAACCAGCAGCAGCAGGCGAGGAGAAACCAGCCGAGGCTTCACCTACTGAATCCGAGACGGAAGCCAGTCCAGAGGCTACAGCCACCGCTGAGTAATCCTGCTGAACCAGACACCGGAATGAAGGAGGCGCCCGTCTGAAGGAATGCGAGGACTTGTCTAAAACCAGGGATTGTTTTTTTTGTTTTTTTTTTTTGTTTGTTTTTTTTGGTGTTTGTTTACTATTCTGCAACCATCTCATCCATAATGACTGCAAGATCCTTGGCAGTGATGGACAGGAGGTGTACTGGAGAGTGTGCTGCTTCCTCACTGCCCATTGGTGCTTGCATGTGTGACATTGGCTGAGTGTGAAGGTGTGAATGCGAGTGTGAATGGTGTGTTTTTTTTGTTTTGTTTTTTTTTCTTTTCTACATGAAACCATGACTGTGTTGACACGTTGCTGAATTTGACATATTTTATCAAGGTATTTGGTGCTGGGCATTTGGATGTAGCAGCTAAAGCTGTGTCTGCAAGATTTGGCACATTGTGGTATTTAAAGGGAAAGTCCTAAACCAAGTCGTTAATGTTGTCTTTGCAGTGCACAGTTGTTTACAACTCTTAAACTCAATGCTCCTGTGGACTCAACCATTCCTGAATGAAGTAGATTTAGTTAACTGTCAAATCAGTAGGTGCTCATCACTTCCCATTAGATTCCACCATTTCAAAACTCTGTAGTAATGCACGTTGTATAGACTTTGATATTACTGGTTTTATGACTGAGATGTACCTAAATGACTGAAGTTTTTAACAGATTACCCATTGTAAATGAAGTTTTTCTTGTTTTTCACCATTTGTAAGATTGAATAAAATTGGGAGATGTTTTAAGCAGACTTTGCATCGTGGTGTGATTTACAAATCTACGCCAGAAAGCACACACATTTGGGGTTTTGGGTGAGATAGTTGAAACATCTTTATTATTTATTTATTTTTTGTGGTGTATGAGGATTCATCTTATTCAAAGTAGAATTTCACATTTCCTACAAACTGTTTATAGGTGTTCAGTTTTATTTCCTGTGAGCTCCGCTGAAGAATGAATTGGAACTCATTTATTCACAATGTTTAGCATTAAATGTCCCTTTATCGGTTAGCTGAATATCTGATGAGCTGGGGCAGTGTGACAGATCAGATACTGGAGGAAAATGTGTTCATTGATTCTTTACAGCACCCTCGTGTGGTGCACTGTAGGAAAAAAATCGGGTTATGTTTCAATCACTATATAAAGAAGCATTAAAAAAAAACATCTATTTAGATTCTCAAAATATAATTGGGGTGTATATTTGCATCAAGATGAAATGCTGCATGGTCTCTGTGAAAGAAAAATGCTACGTCTTCACGAGAACACACTGACAAAGGACACCCTCCAATCAAATTCAGTGATTGAATTGGAGCAAAAGCGATGACAAGAGAGGTGAATTCCACCTTTTATGTCCCAGTAAGCAAATCCTGAAATGTATGTGATCATCTCAAACATCGCTTTCTCTTCAACCTAATTTGGAAATGGGATAAATTGAGACATGCTCACTGCCCTGCAATATTTTTAGAAAATGACCGACTTACTGAGGGAGCAGCCGCAGCATAATTATGAAATAAGATGCGGGGGAGGTTTGGAGCTGCTCGCTTTGCACCATAAGTGTTAGTGTTTGAAACAAACACTAACATGCAGCACATAGCTAACTGATGCTTGCGCTAACCATGGACGTGTTGGGATAACTTTTACCAAACACCAGAATCCTTTTAAGAGGAGAAGACATTGCTTCAATCTTCTCCAGGGTGTTTTTAGTCACCCACATCTGCACCCATGCTCATTTCCAAACCCTCTATTTCCTTTGCACCCAGTTGAACCCAGTGTACTGCAGCTCTGGCCACCGCAAGCAGGGTGTGTTTTACACACATTTCTATTTCTGCCTCCTGGTCTACACGTCCATCTTGGTCAGGTTGAGGGATTTGCTGTTTATTTTGGCCTTCAGTGGGCCTTATGCAGTATTTATTTATTTGATTTAATAGGGACCATGTACAGTTTAAAACGTAAATGTCACCATTTGATACACCGTACCAGATTATAGCTTTAACTTAATTCGCATCTGTAGTCCCTTGGCAGGTCAAAACAAGGAAAGTACAATAAACAGTACAGTATTCAATAATGCCACACACCCGTCTTCATCTTCCAGCTTAAGTGTCTTCAGGTTCTTTCTAGACAAATGGATCCAGTATAGAGGATAGATGCATACAAATGCATGCAACCAGGTGTGCCAGCTAAAAAATTAAATATATATCAAAGGGAAAAATATTCCTTTGAGTGCAACAGATAATTTTGGAGTGTGGCTTGTGGAGTCGTCCAGAGGTAGCGCTCCGTCTGTGTTCCTGCCTGTCCCACCTCATGCACCAACTGCAGGCCGTCTCTGAATGGCAGTCCCCAGCGGTTTCCATCACCCAGCTTCCTCTCTCTTTAGTCCCTCGAGGCCCCTCACCTAACCACTGTCTCGCTCTCTCTCCCAGGGAAGATCAAACAGCTGCTGCCCTGTCCGAAGACCATCCCTGTCCCTCATTCCACATGTTGACTATTTTCAGCACACCCATATTCAGACTTGCACGGTGGAGTAGTTTTTGTAAACTTTGGCTCCAAAGCAGGCAACCAGTGGCCAATATGTGGGGAGAAATGTATCCTTTACGATCCTCATCTACCTCAGCTTCTATACAGCGACCAGTGGTGTGTCAGTAACTAAGTACATTTACTCAAGTACTGTTCATGAGTCAATATTTCAGTTTTATGTTACATTATACTACACTTTAAATTATAAATATTGCATTATGTTTATTTGACAGAAAAGTAACTGCTTACTCTGGACGGAAAACACAGATCAACATTTCATCATACAGTTTAAATGAAGGGAGTGTTTACCTTGGCATCATGCACATGGCACTACTGAGCAGTCTGAATTCAAGAGTGCAAACCCTTTTACATGAGATTTTCAGTATACATCAGTATTAGTAAGGGGGGATTCTGAATAGGTGTACTTTTACTTTGTATACTGTATTATAATTTGTTGGGGTATTGCCACTTTTACTTACTTATAAAAAAGAATCATAGTTCTACATCTGACAGGAACTCATTAATAAGAGATGCTTGTATATGTTATATCATACATATATTATATCATACTGTGATTAGTCCATGTGGCTATGTGTTGCTTATAGGCTAGCATCCATTATTAACTGTCTTTGACTATCTTATGTAATTTCTTTTATATATTAGCAATGATGTAATATTTTGCAGAACTTGTAACTAATGAGTTTGGAAACCAGGTAATACCATAATGTCTTAATTGATCTCTAATTCACAGCTGTAAAGAAAGGCTAGTAGAAAGGTTTTAATCTTAGTTTGTATCACGTTGCAAATATAAGTGATTGCCAAGTGGGAAAGTAAACACACAAGCCATACTTATATTAGACTCATTTTGAGGCTCCCCGACTGGAAAGTGTTATTGATCCAGACATTGAATCAGCCCAAATGAGTTGACCTCTGACCTTTACAGAGTATTCATTTTGTGTAATGCTTACATGAAATACAAAGCCAAACTAGTTTAAGAGGACTATTCAGTGTAATTGATTAAGTAAGATCTAAAAGAGGCTTTTGTATTATTTCAATAGGATATTTTGTTAAATATTCATAACTATTTAGGTTACATTTAAAAAAAGTGATTCTGAGACAAAACATTTTTTAGACATCTTTTATTTTGGTCATTATGCTTTACATGACATAATGCATGTTCAGGGATACATCGCTGTTGCTGGTAGTTTGTGTTTGTATGACAGTATTCTGGTGACTTGTTTCATCATAACGGTCAATTTGACCATTACCATTTCACAATATTCAAGTCACATACAAGGATAACAGTTACAACATGGTGCGCAGAAAGTATTTGTGTACTTTTGATAAGATTATTGGTCACCCAAACAGAAACAAGCAGGCATAACAAAACGAAAACAAAACAAAACAAAACAGACAAACATTGAATTAAGAATCACCAGTTGAAGTCAATATTAATAAAGGAACAGAGTGGAGAAAAGGAAAAGTCAGGACACAACACCGTTATAACATCTCAATTTCACATGCTGTCTCTGTTAAAAAAGCTCACTGGTAACATTGTGGATTGCTTCCCCCATCCCTGATCACTTGTTTTCATAAATTAGTTTTCCTTCTTCTAAGCACCTATTTCTTGTAGTTTTCAAGTCGAGATGCTACTATTCCTCAAAGAAGGGTGAACTTCCTGTCTGTTTGTTTGAGGAAAAATGAACAGGGAGTTTACTTTAGTTTGAGAAATAGGTTGCAAATTTAGTTGGTTGGCTTTTGGGAACTACTGTATCAACGCATCACGTTGAAGCAATGAGGAACCCAGAGAAAGAGCAGTGGACGTTCTCAGCTGCAAAGACACCATTGGCCTCTTCGTCAGGGATCTGGACATAGACTGTGTCCTGCTCATCCAGCAAGAGGACAGCACTACCGGACATCTGGTCCAGGAAGCCCTTGCTGTACTCATCATAAGTGAACATAACGGGCTGGCCATTCTTGTACAAAGCCACCAGGGCATTAGCTCCATTAACATGGATGCTGTAGGAGAAATAGTAAACTCCAGGAATTTGGCAAGTGAAGATGCCAGTCTCAGAGTCATAGTGATTCTCAGCATTGTACACAATCTGGTCAAACTTAATGGGGGTGCCATCAGCAGGGTAGGGGGTGATCAGAGATGCAGTGAAAGCAGACATGGGGGACTTGACCATAATCTCACCCATTCCCATGCCTTTCTCAAACACAACCTCACCAGGAGGACCAGGGACACCAGGAGGGCCAGCTGGGCCACTGGCTCCATCAACACCATTATCACCGGACTGACCAGGGGGACCCTGAGGTCCGGGGAGACCCTTAGCAGTCAAACCAGCAGGGCCAGAGGGACCAGGGAGACCTGGGTGTCCTTTAATGCCGGGAGCACCAGAAGAACCTTGAGGCCCAGAAGGTCCTCTGGAACCTGGAGCACCATCAGAACCAGAGGCACCTGGCTCACCTGCACGGCCGGGGTGACCTTTGGGTCCAGCAGGGCCTGGAATACCTGGGGAACCTGGGGTACCAGGGGCACCACCATTACCTTTGTCACCTGTGGTTCCAGTAGCACCTCTGGATCCAGGAGGACCAGCTGCGCCTGGATAACCCTGCTTGCCTGCGAAACCCTGTGCTCCCTGATCTCCCTTGTTTCCCTTAGCTCCCTGAGATCCAGCTGACCCTGTGTCACCTTTAGAACCAGCAGCGCCGGCTTCACCTGGGAAACCTAATGGCCCCTGAGGTCCAGCAGGACCAGTGGGGCCACTTGAACCAGTAGCACCAGTATATCCTGTTGGACCTTGCTCACCCTTTGCACCTGTGCCACCTGTGGCACCTGTAGATCCCCTCTCTCCCTTTTCCCCATTTGCACCTGGCTTTCCATAACCTGGGACTCCAGGGGCACCAGTGGCTCCAGTAGGTCCCTGGTGGCCTTTAGGGCCAGCTGTGCCAGGCAGACCTGGGGCACCATTCTCTCCTGATTTACCTGACATACCTACACCTGGGGCACCTGTGTGTCCCTTAGGTCCCTGTGGTCCCATGGGACCTGAAGCACCATCCCTACCTGTGGTTCCTGACTTTCCTGGCTCGCCTGGCATACCTGATTTGCCTGGCTTTCCAACTCCAGACTCACCTGGTTGTCCAGGTGCGCCCAAGGCTCCTTCAGGCCCTGTCTCACCCTGAGGTCCTTGAATTCCCACCCCTCTATCACCCTTAGCACCTGGCAGGCCAGGTACA